TTATGCTTGAAGTCTAGACGACAGTTTTGGAACGTGCTCAATTAGTGTTATATGAATTACTAGCTAGCCCCGCCGTCCCGTCCCGCCCCGTCCCGCCTTCCCGTAGTCGTGTCCAAACCCAAGAACACAAAAAAACAAAAACAATTTTCACATAACATCTGGCGGCGATGCGAATGACGCGACGCGCAATAATACTATTTCATAATTTTGAATACACTCAACTCTATACACATAAGTAGATACATATTCACACAGTATATACTTATACAGTGGGAACTCTTATAACGGACACCCCTTTTGGGCGGACATTGCCAGTCAAATCATTCTCCCTCCCTCCTTTGGGCAAACACACTCCTCTTACCCCACAATCACAATCACTGCCCATCCAAGTGAGTTTTCACTGTATATATACATATAGTTTTTAACTTGTTCAACTTGGTACACGATATGGTTTAGAGGGTTTGGGCGGGTGCTCCAATACGACTGCCTGGCGCGGTCCTATAATCAACAACCACAATAAATGTCGTGCAAAATTTGTTAATTTTCATTATACCAAAAATATATACAACTTTTCGAGCGGGTATACTGACTATATACACAGAACGTAACACACACGCATTTAGATCAAAAATGTTTGCAGATAACTTATCGATAACATTATCGTTACGAATATGATTCAGAGAGACTATCGATAACGTTAACGATTATAGTTGTAATATCTTGTGTTTTAATAAGTTAAAGGCTAGCGATTGGTTAAAGATTTGCACACATACTTTCGATAACAATATCGAGCCTTGGGTCAGAAGAATAACGATGACATTCTCGATTAACGGATATCGGAATGAAAATTTCATTTATATGCTCGGCGAGACTATCGATAACATTATCGATTAACTGTTATTGAACTTGTAATGGCTCGATTGGTCAAAGAGTTTCGAACACTTTTTCGATTTAGCATTACAGCAAGTACGTGGTATGTGCCATAGTCGAGACTACCCGTCAGCATTCTGCAAGCTAGTTAAGTACAATTTTTCACACCAAACGCGTCGCACTTCCGCGCGAGGGCGTTGCAAAGATTTGCGGCTGGTGGCGTCGATAAAAACAAATTCGTAGACACTCGGTAATTGTTTTTCATATACGTTTTTGTTTTTGTTTTTGTTTTTTTTTTTTTTTTTGCTATCTTAGTTGTTGTTTTTGCGTCTAATGCATCTATTTTTGCGCAAGTATTTGCGTTGTGCCCTGCGCAATTTGTTTGCAATTGAGCGTTAGTTATTCTGACACCCCCCCCCCCTTCCACCTAGAAATTCTTTAAAAAATTTCAAAAACTATTTGAAAGCACGCATGATGGCAGCGAGGGGGAAGAGGGCAATAGATTTGAAGAGAGCACACGACGAACGGACTCGACACACGTGGGTGTGAAGAGACGAGGAGACGTGTGGGGTGGTAGAGGTGGCAGAGAGAAGGGTGCTGTAGCACACAGACCATGACTAATCACAACAGTGGGGGGGAGGGCATAAATCACTTGCAGACAAAGCAGCGAGAGAGGTCTTTAGGCTGTTGTTTGTCTGTTGTTGTTAAAGTTGTTGTTGTTGTTGTTGCTGCTCCAAACAGGAAGAGCTTTCTGCAAAATGAAAAAGTTTCGCTTTAGGCAGGCGAAAGAGCAGCAGAAAATAAAAATCATAAAAACAAACGCCCAAACAAAATGAATACATAAAATAAGTCTTAACCTTGACATTGAATACGACGAATACATAAAAGAAAATGCCGGCAAACACGTTATACACACACACACACACACACACACACACACCTCTATAGAAGTGGGAGTGAGATAGGGAGTGCGCGTTTGTGTGTGCCTGCAGAGCTTAGGCGCGCAATGGGAGGGAGGGGGAATTTAATATGTATTAAAGTAAGTAAGAAAAATGCCAGAAATGTTTTGTTTATCAAAATAAGAAAGGAAAAAAACACGAGTCGCCGCGTGTGGCGCTAAAAATAGCAAACAAAATAAATTTAGCAAAACAAAAATACACAAAAAAAAAAAGAAACGATAAAAAAAAAGCTGCTTTTATGAATTAAAAAGCGCGCACGCAAAAAATAACAAATCAGCCGGTTTTTTTATTTCTTCTGATAAGCAGCAAATGCAATCCACAAGTAATAGCAATGCGGCGAGTGAGAGAGAGAGCGAGAGGGAGAGCGTGAGAGAGAGAATGCGGCATAGGCGCAGCAATTGAGCGCTTGAAGCGAAAACAGATGAAAATTAAATCAGAGAACAGCGTAAAGAATATGCGAAAGCGGCGACAACAACAAATGTGAGTGCAAAAATAAATGAAAACAAATAACACGGCCTTGAAAACTGGACAAAAGACAGAAGCACGACAACAACAGAGATGAACAAAGAGGGAATTAGAAGAAGTTTTTTCATATCTTGCTGAGGGCTGCGGCGAACCTACTTGGAAGCGCAACAAATGCAGAGCAGCAACAGGGGAAGGGTTTAATCTCGGGCCAAATATGCTGCACAGGCTCGGGGATCTTGCTGTGAACGAAAAAACAAGCAGAAACAAGACACTCCGCGAACAACGCACATGCACGCAAGTACTTATAGATGTATGTGTGTATGTATGCATGTATGCATGTGTATGTGTTGTATGTTAAGTGAGAGAAGAGCTGGAAATCAACAAGAAATAAAAGCAAAAAGAGGGCCACAACCAAAAATACAAACACGATCTAATTCTTTTTTTTTCTGCTTCTATTTGTGCCATGCTTCTGCTGCTTCTTCTTCAAACTGTTGTTGTTCAACGTTTGCTGCTTGTTTTGCTCTTTGACGAGCTCACATACATACATATATGTATGAGTGTATACACACACACATACGTACGCTTGTATTTTTATCGAGCGCTGGAATAAATTTTAATGCGCGCCCGACGACGAATTCGCTTTAAGAAACGGAAATATTAAAATTGGGCATAACGAAAATAAAAGTATAAATGTTTGTGTTTAAGCTTTTACATAGTTCTATATATAAATATGTGTTGTTTATTCATTTCAATAATTTTTTGATTAATTTCTCATGATTTTTATGCCATGCGTCAGCCGAGCCGAGTGCGTCTCACATGTGTCAGGGCAACTCTTCAATCTGCGCCCGCAGTGGCAACACTGGCGACCTGTTGGGTTGGGGCAGAACGAATGACAAGGAGCAGGCAAATGGCAAACCTTGACCCAAAGTTGTGGATAAAAACACACACAAACAGATAAAGCAAGCGGCAAAGGAAAGCAAAAATAATAAACTCAATTCGATAAAAGTGAAACTCGTAATGCAAATACAAGCACAAGCACACATACACACACACTGACGCACATGTACGTACATGTGTATATAAATAAATAATAAGTGTGCGACCAAAAAGGAAATAACAAGCAGAATGGCAAGACACAAATTGAAATTCGCGAACAGAATGCCGCAAAGCAGCGATCAGTGCGCGAGAAAGAGAGAGCGCGAGATAGAGAGAGCGATCGAAGGCAAAAGAGAGCGAGATCGCGAGAGAGAGGGCGAGAGAGAGAGAGAGCGTGGAGTCGTTAAGTCTGGTTCATTTGCATAATTGCAAGTGAACTTCCTTGAAAATATTTACCAAAAAAACATTGTGATATATTTTGAAAATACTTATTAAATATATTCACATTTAAATATGCAAGTCCATGCATATGAACATTAACAAATATTGAATAAATTTCCTTCTTATTATTTTTTTTTGCAGCTGTTTGGCAAGTGAGAATCGCTGTCGGAATTATCAAGGTTATATAAGCCGCTGCGCTGTGGCGCAGTCCACGACAAACAATTGCTTTTAAACACTGGCCAACACAAAATTGAAACCAAGTTAGCAAATAGGATAAAATTTTATTAAATTATTATACTGTCGCCTCTTCAGTTTTTTTATATAAAAGAAAAAAAGGGTCTTATATCACTATATCACTAACTGTCACCTCTCAGATTTTTTTTTTTTTTTTTTTTTTTAATTTATAATAACCTTTTCCTATGTTATGGACTTGGTTTGGTTTCTATATTGGTTCCGAAATGAAAAACTTTCTTGCGTAACTATTCTTTGTGCACTTTTTTGCTAAAAATTAAGACAATTTCAATACAGGTAATAATTAAAATAAATATTGTCTATTTGCGAATTAATGGGATTTTTCATGTTTAATATTCAAAAATAAGCACAAAAAAAAAAAAAAAAACAGTATGAAAAAATCCATATATGGAGTAAAAGTAAATTAAAAAATATCTATTCGCGAATTCAATGGGGTTTGTTGATATTTAATCTTATTATATTGTGAATAAGAAATACAAGAAAAAAATAAAACTAAAAAATAATGTTAATATATCGAATACAATATTTAAACTAAATAATATCTATTTGCGAACTTAACGTACCTCATTCATATTTAAAAATAACTCAAGAAAATAAACAAAAAATGCAAACAACAATTTTCTAAACAATAAGAATACCCAAAATAAAGAATTAGAGTTCCTAAATATTTAATGTATATCAATTTTTTTTGGCAGTATTTTTAAATGTAAACGATTAACATTTCAATTTAAAATTCTTAAAAATGTTTAAAATATATATTTGTTTTTAAGTTCAATTCAAATTTTAATATTATTCAATTTAAGATTCACTTTAATTTTAAGCAAACAATTGTAAAAATTAACCTCTTCTTTTCATAAATTGTTGAAATCCAATTATAAAATATAATTATGGCAATAAACTTTAATTTTTTATTAAAAACAAAATTTCTGATTTTTGCAAATGACATTTCAAACGTATTTTTGTTGTGTAGTGTTCACGCAAAAGTTCAAATTTTGCTTTTAATTTGAATTATTGACATTGCGCCCACATGTTGGGAAAATTTGTTCGATTTATATCATGGCACTAGCAGGGGCTTGCGGGGGCTGACTTTAAAAAGGGGGGGGGGGGGGGGGGGGGGGAGGGGTTGTATTAACTTACCGCACACGCTCCGAATAGATTTCGACTTCTTTGTTCTTCTGCTGCTGCACGAGCTGCTGCTGATCGTAGCTGGCGAGAGGCTTGAAATTGCTGATGTTGGCCAAAGCGGGCAGCTGCGGGGGCTGCGGGTTGGGCGGCTGCAGCAGGCACTTGGCCAGGCCGAGTCCATTGTGCTGTTGCTGCAGCAGCTGCAATTGTTGTTGCTGCAAGTGCAACTGTTGCTGCTGCTGCTGCTGCTTCTGCACGGGCGACAGCGAGCTGTCCGCGCTGGACTGCGAGGCCGAGGGCGAACTGGAGCCGCTGGAAGAGAGGCTTCCAGCGCGAGCGCGCAAATCCAGGCCCAACACGTTGCTGTTGCTATTGTTGTTGTTGCTTATGAGTATGTTGCTGAGGGTGGCCACCACGCTGGCCTGCAGGCCAGTTGTATGGTTGTTGTTGTTGTTGCCGCTGCTGCTGTTGTTGTTGTTGTTGTGTGGCAAGCCGGAGCCAATGACGCCCACATTGGGATTGGGCGTTAAATTCGCCGAGTTTGTGTTAAGCGGCGCGAGTGCAACACTAGCCTGTTTCTGATTGCTGCCGTTGTTGTTGTTGCCGTTGCTGTTGTTGGTGTTGGTGTTGTTTCCGTTTCCGTTGCCGTTGCGATTGCGCTTCTTTTTGGCCTTCTTTTTGTCATCGTCTTCGCAGCTGCTGGCGCTGCCGCTGCCGCTGCTGATGAGCGGCCGCTGGAAGCAAACGCCCGTCGAGGGCCACTCGAGATCCTTGCGCAACTGTCCGCGTCCGCACTTGCATATGCAGTTCTTGTAGACCAGATCGTAGCCCTTCTTCGTCCACAACTGCTGCACGCGCTGCCGCTCCGACCAGCTGCGCGCCCTGGCGCTGCTCTTCAGCTGCTGCAGCACGCCCGCCTCCCACCGATCGAAGCAATCCCGATGCATATACTGGCCCACGTTGCAGTTCTCGTTGTTGCACAGGACGCGCACGCAATCGGCCAGGCCCTGTTCGTCGAGCGCAATCAGTGCGTCCAGTTTGACGCATTCACCGTTAGGATAGCAGCAGCGCGTCAGCTGAACGCCGACGCTGAGCGTCTGCTGCATGGGCGCCATGTTTGTCGAGTTTGACGTCGCAAAGTTGTAGAGTTGCGGCGGCTCCTGCTGCAGTTGCAATTGTTGTTGCTGCTGTTGCAGTTCTTGCTGTTGGGAGTTGCCGCTGCTGCTGCTGCTGCGACGCGGCGCCATAAATTCGCACGTGTTTCACGAAATTTCTTTTTGGCTATTGCTTATTGCTTTATTTGTATTTGATTTAAGCCTCGCTAAGCAGCTGCCTCAGCATGCTTTTTTTTTTTGTTTTTTGTTTTTCTTTATGTTAACTGTATAAAATGTGTACACAAAATTGCAGTCTATTTTTGTTATTGTTATTTTATTGCTAATGTTATACCTGAGCTGAGTTTACAACGCGCGTTTCTAGTATCAAAAAAATTGTATCAAGTCTCCTTTTGATTATTTTTTTTTACATGATTTGTTTTGTTTTTTGTTTTTTTTTGCACACACGCACAAAAATTGTTTATTTGGCGGCGCCGGCTTGTGTTTTTTTCTTCACACACTACACTCTGGCCTTGATGCGTTACATTTTTTTGTTATATATTTATTGAGTAGGAAAATATTTATTATATGCATATGAAACGTATTCGATGCCGTTTTTTCTTATGTTCTTCGCTGCTTTTGCATTGTTTCGCTTTGCCCACTTCCAATTTTCTTCAAGTACGGCGAACGGAGAGTGCTGCGAGAAAACACAACCAACCAGATCAAAAGCGAAATTCCAACTAAATGAAACGAACGGTACACACGACGGCCGAACGCCCAGCGACGAACAACAAACTGAAACTGAAATTCAAAACACGCACACACACACACACACGCGCGTGCACGCGACCGGCAGAGGCAACACAAACTCATTCGTATTATTGATGTCGTTGTAGTTGTTGTTGGTGGGTGGATGGGTCGTTGTGAGTTGTTCGATGTTGTCGGTCGAGCCGCACAGCGCAGCGAGGCTCGGCAGCGTTTGGTCAAACCTTGACGCCGGCAGCGTAGCTGCACGTTTTCCTTTTTTGTTTAAGGGTGGGTGGGTGTTGGGGTGGTTTGGTTGGCTGGTTTTCACTTTCCACCACCACCGAAAACAACGTCGCCACCTAGCTGCGGAAAATGCTTGTTTTTCATTTGAGGAAAATTTCGCACAAGTTTTGGCGCTAAAAACGTCTGCGTCGTGCAGGGTGGTTTTCCAAATGTTGTTTTCCTGGGGGTTGGTCGGTGGAGCATGCGACACTCGAGCAAACGAGAAAGGGATATAGCAGCAGCGAAATGTTCTATTCAAATTCACTTTCAATGCGGCTCGAACAAGATGCAAACACAAACATTTCCCCTTCAACATGTTGTGCTGCGCTGCGCTCTAAGAAGCTCGACAGCGCACCAGCGGCAACACGTCTGACAGCAGTTTCTATGCCTGCGCATGTGTGTGTGTGTGCGTGGCATAAAAAAAGCCGGCAAAACAAACAACAGACAGCGTTGAACAGGGTTGCCGAGCCGCATTGCGTTGGAAATTGAACAAGAATCTTCTGGCACCTTAAGGAACGTTTTAGAGAGTTAAATGTTGCAAATAATTTATTTATGTACATATGCAATTAAATGAACTTACGAATATCTTTATCGATACCTGTATCGAAAAACTGTTCCTGTCTCCTTGTTGACTGTCAAATGTACTCGTATACATATGTATGTACATACACATTTCTATGTACATATACATACATACATATGTATATGCGTCCATCTTCCCATTGCGTCTACTTTGTTTCGGTTTTAACTGGAATGGGACCCCTTCGCAACCCGTCTACTGCTGACAGTGCTTCAACTCGGTATATAATCCCAAAAAAAAACACACGCATACATGCATGCATATGTATGTATATATAAACAGCCATATAAACATGCATACTCACACACACATGCATAGGCAACTTAACACAATGGCACACGAACAACAAAAATGAAAGAGGCATTCAAAAAAACAACAAGGCGAAGAAGGCATAAAACAGCAAAAGCAAAATGGAAACTTGCGAATCGAGTCGAATATTTTTGCACACTGCAAGGAATATGCATTCTTGCATATAAGCCGTATAGCTGTAATATATTTAATTAAATACGGTAATAATGTAAGAGCTGATTTTTATATAATGATATTCTATTAGATCTATCCGCAGTACAGGTTTATTAGCTTTTACATGTATGTATGTATAGTAGTTAATTTATGTATGTATTTGGAATTTAGGGTATTCATTGATCCGATTAGACCGACCTTATGCCTTCCCTGTTGGTGTCAGTATCGCAGTTCTCTGTTGTGCTCTTCGCATCATCGACTGCTCTTATATCTGTATGGATGTATTTATGTACAGTGTATATGCATGCATACATATATGCATATGCTATGCATGCTTATGTACATTTGCGTTATGCTGCTTCCCTTTTAGAGTCCTTTATTAAAACCGAAACGCAGACCGTGTTGCGAAAAAAAAACGAATATAAAAAACAAAATAAGGGCACGTGTAGGATGAGTTTTTTACAGTGGATGTACATACATACATATATATGTAGATATCTAGATATGTACATGCATATATTTATGTATAACTTTATGTAAATATATGTACATGTTTGTATTCACATCAAATATTATTAATTATGTCACAACTGTTCAAGAATATCGATACTTTCTAGCCATAACATGCACACGCATATGCTTGTATGTATGTACATATGTTCGAAAGCTTTCATGAGGTATTTAAAATGAATATCGATACTTTCCAGCGATTACTTATGTATTTATTATCACTTGGCTTAATGATGTAAGTATGTGTTGCTAAATTTAAAGGATGTTTTTGCGATGTACCACCGATTACAAACATAAATGTGTTAATAGGCATATAGTATGTAAGAGTGTACATATGTATGTATGTCTAATATTGTCCAGGAATATCGATACTTTAAGGATTCATTTTGTTGCAAATCACACTATCGATAGTTCAGCATCTCAGAACCTCGAGCGTGTTGTGAAAAATGTGAACAAAAAGGAGATCATGTAAATTATGTGAAAATGTTGCCTAAGCTTGTGTGACATAAACATACATACACTTACATATACATGTGTGTACATACATAAATACGTGTGGTATATATGTATGTATGTATGTCTTATAGGAATCGAAGACGAAGGACTTGGCGCGTCCAACTGGCAAAGTCAAAAACTGCGTAGTTTTCGGTCCATCTTTTGTGCCATCTACCTGCATATGCATATGTGTATGTGTGTGTGTGTGTGTGCTAGTGGAGAGGGGTCGGAGCGGAGGGTAGCTGCTCTGATATAATAATTAAGTCAGGTAGGTAGATCGCAGCCATTGCGTAATAAGTTCGACAGTGTGAATGGGTGAGTGTGTGTACATGTGTGTGTGTGTGTGCTTGTTGTTATTCTAGTTGAAAGGATCGCAGCGTAAGGAGAGAAAGAGAGAGAGAGAGAGAGAGAACAAAGAACAAGGCGTCAGCGGAGGAAGTTGGAATTGGACTAGTTTGCAGCGCGTTCTTTTGTTCCTTTTCTTTGTGAATTCTTTTCTTTTTGTTGTTATTATTATTATTTTTATTGTGTGCCTTTGCGCTGACCTAATTTTAATGACCAGCCGAATGAAACTGGGGGATCGCGGCGCAGGAAGACTTTTGCGGCCCTCGGGCCGGGACATAATTCAGCTTTAGCTTTGCGACGACGACGACGACGACGACGACGACGACGACGACGACGACGACGACGACGACGACGACGACGACGACACGCATCAAGTTGAATTTTCATAATTAATGGCAACTAAAGGCTGCACTCGGGCCCCCGGGCGGGCACGGGGAGAGTTGCCATAAATAAATGTCGGCCTAAACATGTGCCCGTCTTTTGACACCCAGTAAAGCCCAAGACTTCCTGTTTTGCGTGTGAAAGCGTGTCGATTTTGGTCCCGAAGGAAAGACTGTGGTTAAGAAACACACATAAGAAGTACACAGTGCAAGTACAGTGAAAGCTCTATGAACGAACAGCTGCCGTTGGCTAATCCACTTTACTCTATAAATTTTATTTTTTAGTTTAACAAAAACTCTTGTATACGAAAATTGGACTTAAGAATAGAAGTTTTCATTTCTCTTAAATTACTTAATTGTACGAAATCTTCTTTTTTGTGCCAAAATTTATTTTGTTTTATGCAAAAAGTATACTCGAAGCGGACAAAAAATGTATTTATCTAAGTAATTATAAAGAATTTGCAATTGAATATTAGATTCAATATAAATTAATTTAATATTCGGTAATTGCGTATAACAAATTTTCCAGAATTCTGAATCCGATAATTAAATAAAGCACGTTTTTTAAATTAAAAAATTATAGATCTAATAATTTGTATAAAATATGTAATCGAAATTAAACTAAAATTATTTTAACTGTCAATAATATGTACATTTCTTTTTTTAATTAAAAAAAAATGGCATCGAATTTGGAAAATTACGCAGAAGGAAAAAAATAGTAATAAAAAATTAAGAAATATATAAATATAAAAGGAACGGGAGATTTTATGGCTTGTTTTTTTGGGTTCCAGAAATCTTGAATTAATAATCCTGAAAAATGATTTAATACATAACAAGGAAATGTGAAAAAAAAACCAACTACAAGTAATTTTTTCTTAACATTTTTGCGAGAAATTTTTAAAAAATAATAATAAAAAAATTTGCGAAAAGTACAAAAAAAAAAAACAATATAAAACAAAACTGATTTTACCACATTTCTTATTTTTTTGTTTTTTCGAGGCAGCTTGAATAAAAATATAAAGAAATATTATAAAAAAACTAGAAATATAAAAAAGAAAAAAATCTTGCTGCAAGTGTTATTCCTTATATTTTTGCGAGAAATCTTTTAAGAAATACTTTAGAAACAGAAATAAAAAAATTTATATATAAAAACAAAACAGAAGTGGATATCTAACTTATCAAAAGCATCGCCAATTGTAGCTGTTCTCTGCAGAGAGTCTTCACTGTACTCTAACTGAAAATTGGACGCACGAGAAATCAAGTCAACGCTAAGCGGTGGAAGCAGACGCCGCAACACCCTCTGACCCCTACCGCCCAGCTGCAGCTCCTGAGGGTGTGTCAGTGGTGCCCCCCCCTCATACCCTATGCATACATACACACACACATATACATATGTATATATTTATGTGTTTATCAAAGCCGAGCGCTGACGTTCGGCTGGGTATTATTTGTAATTACCCATACTCCCACATTTATCCAATCGGAAGCAACTTTGAAACCCAAAATAGGGTTTGAAATTTTCATGCTGGCATGACAACCACTGCCACGGGCGAGTATATAACGGCACAAAGGCACACACACACATACACATATACATATATGCATATATAACAAAGAGTATGTATGTATGCATATACTCTC